GACTCGTTGGGGCAAATTCCACCTCTCGCGTGTGATGTCGAGGTCATTCTGGCTCCCCCAGCTCTCATTAGGGGCTCTAAAAAGTTATGGCCATTGTCGGCGGCAGCTGCAACGGCCGTGGGGGTGGGGCAGCGAAACATTCCTTTTTCGAGAAACGTAGAGCTGGAATGGACCTCAAGGGTCGTCTTATCCCAACCCCTGCACAATACAGGAAGAAGAAGTGGAATAAATGTCTTAAATCATTTAAAAAGAGACTTATAGGCTAGAGATCAGTTATAATTCCAGCTCTCCAGCCCCCACCTGGAGGTTGGCAACTCTATAACAAGTGACAATTTCCCCACTTTCCCCTGGCGGAGGCATGGAAGGCTGGTGATGATGAACTGCAGCTGAGGAGATGTCTTCATGGGGTGTCATTCATTGGGCCAGGGCCCCCATACTTGCTTTGATTGTAAGGGTGATCCTCCAATGCCTCAATCATCCCATGTTACCAATACAATGGGATTTCTGACTAACTTTTGAAGGTGCCCCAGAACCAGGCTTTTTGGCTCAAGCCGATCAAAAGTGCACCACCAATAACTTGCACTGCATGATCATATCTTGGGCAGAGGTTTGTTTTGATGTCAGCCTTGGTGACCTGAACCAAATCAGGTGGTAGACTTATAGGCAGGAGATCAGTTATAATTCCAGCTCTCCAGCCCCCACCTGGAGTTTGGCAACCCTGAGATTTGAGATATGGTCCTATGCACCAGCGAGTCAGCCTGGGGTGATGCAAGCACGAGCATGAGAGCTGCAGTGATGTTCCTAGGCTGGGTCGAGAGGATGATGCAATAGGGGTCTTTGTGCAATGCTTTTGACTAGTCTGAGTGAAAGCAAGATGGATTGGTAAACCTGCAGAGACATCCAAGTCAGTAACAATTAAAGGAACGCCCCAAAAACTGCCAGATGAGGTGACACACATCTGAAATTGAGAGGAGCAGAAGTGCTTCTGGCCTCAGCGGACTGTCAAACAAATGAAAAGAGTATTTGGGGTCTCCTGCAAATGATGGCAGAGTGCCAAGTATACATCCTGAGCAGTTTGCTTGGCTAGAGGACCACATTAATGGGAGAGGCAGAAAAATCGATTTCTTCCGCTAAAGATAGAACCACTCCATTAGAGACTATTAAAAATCAACTTCTAGGAAGCAGTGATGCAGGAATATTGTAAGAACTATTGGGTATTGTAAATAAGAAGCTGGAGACTGACCAGTTATGAAGGTACACAGAGAGTTTATAAAGTTATAAAGGTGAATTATATACAGAGATATTTACAGGCTATTGAACAGCATGCCGTGCCTTAGTCTATGAGACCTAAATCCCCTCTAGCTTACCAAGCTGATACCTATTATGCTGAACCCCAGCCAATCTCTAACAAGGTGATGTAATCTCTAACTCTAACAAGACCTTAAAGAGCAACACCTGCTAGAAGCACCTGTCTGTAATTACATGATTACTAGCTTGACAGCTAAGTTTGACAGCTAAGTTTGACAGATAGATCAAACTGATCTACAGTAACTGCTTGCTGCCTCTAACACTCTGACATATATCTCAATAAGAACTGGAGGGAAAGAAAGAGCTGACTGGGAATCAGTGATAATTTGTTGATGCATTCTTAGGACAGTTTTGGACCTTTCCCAAGACTACTTACTGGAGATTGCAAGATACAAAGTGTAAGAAAATCCCAATCAACAGAACCAAATGTGAGATCTCCCATTTTCCAGGGAGGAAAATGTACTGCTGGAAACAAAATTTAAAGGAGTGAGGTTTCAAAGTGTCTGCAGTGGTCACCATTTTTCTTGTAAGAGACCCAACACTAAAAACAACTATCAGCAGCAGAACAGTGATTGGATTTGATGGAGTAATCCAATTGCCATACAACCCTACAACAGCTTCTGTAGGCTAATCAAAAACCAACAAGTCTAGAAAAATAAAAAGTCTTTGTCTGGCTCTTAAACAGTAGCAGACTAGGCATCAGTAAAGATGGCTTTAAAGGGCATTAGGCATGCATATGCAGGATAGGTCCATCAGAGACTACTAGCTGTGGTGACTAAAGGAAACCGAAATACCGTGCCAAGAGGCAACAGAGGAAAGCCCTGGCCTGTATGCCCGTTTGTTGGCCTTTGCGTGAGACATGATGCTGTACTAGGTGGACCACTGGTTTGATTCTGCGCAGTGCTTATGTTCTTATCAGGAAAAATCTCTGCTCTGGTAGGCAACTGCTTCCTTTTAGGAGGTGAAAACCATGCAGAACAGGGTCTTCAGGGTTGATCTTACATGGCATACAGACTGATATGCCCACTAGCAACAACTGTCCACTTCTTTTCCTCCCTTGAACTGCCCTATACTGAGTCACTCCATTGGTCTGTCGAAGTCAGTCATCTCTATTCTTACAGTGGCAAAGGTCTTTTGCATCACCTCCTAGCTGACCTTTTTAACTGGAGATGTCAGGGATTGAATCTGTGTCAGGTCCCCAGCTAAGATACTCTCCACACACACTATTGGCAGTGAATGCTTTATTAGAGATTTGCTTGCCGTAGGTACGAAACTTTTATTAGGACTGACGAAAACCGTGGGAACATACAGGTTATAGGTAAAAACATAAATTCCTCATTCGTACATGTCACACCTACCCCATGGCATTACTATGGCAACACAGACAGATATATGGTGCCCTATATCTGCTGCGGTGGCTCAAGTGATTAAGACGCTGTACTGCAAGCTGTGGAAGGTCGGTAGTTTAGCAGTTTGAGACCCGAGTGTGCCGCATGACGGAGTGAGCTCCCGTCTCTAGTTCCAGCTCCTGCCAACCTAGCAGTTCGAAAGCAAGAAATGACAAGTAGATAAATAGGGACCCCTTCAGTGGGAAGGTAACAGCGTTCCGTGTGCCTCGGTGTTTAGTCATGCCGGCCACATGACCACGGAAACGTTTTTGGACAGCGCTGGCTCTTCGGCTTTGAAACGGAGATGAGCAACACAACCCTAGAGTCGGATTCGACTGGATTTCGAGCAAGGGAACCTTTACCTTTACCTTTTTATCTAACCTAGGCAAGGCACGAAGATTCACCAAGGTCAATTTCATGACAACCAACACCTGGTGCACAACTTCAGGAATAATTATGGCTACTACTCCCATGCACTCACACCCCCCCAATCCAAAATGACAAGGGAAGGGAAAGGAAAGCACAACTTAGAGAAAGGAAAGTTAAAACAGTTAGGACGCAGCCTGAGCTTTGCCTGAGCTTGACAATCTGAGACCTTATGCATGCACAACAGGTGCTTTACTACACAGCTAGGACTGTTCCTGACCTGCATAGCCCCAGGCTAGCGTGATCTCAACATATCTCGGAAGCAAAGCAGGGTTGGCCCTGGTTAGTACTTGGTAGGCTTGCCAAGTCCCCCAGGGGGGCGGGGAAAGCCGATGCAGGAGAGGGCTGTTTGGGGGTGGGGCCAGTGGTGGATTGGAACCCCCAATGTCAGGGGAACCCCCACCCTGACCAGGGGAGGGGGATAGCAACTCTACTAAGAGCAGTTGAGGGGAAATTCCAGGAGCATGGCCTCTCCCCTCAAATTTTACTGCATCTTGGCTATCAAAAAGCAAAAGAAACAATTAAACAGCAGTTCTGGGACGGTGCTCTACAATCAGATAGGACACAGATATAGAAATATCCAGTTATTCTGCAGCATGGCAAATGTTCTCAACCAGCAGGTTATCTTAGATCCCTTGAGATCGCTAAGTATCTGTTCCCTCTAAGCTGAGTTAGTGTGAGCTCAGTTTTTAAGGCTCCAGCTCACACATTTGTTGTCTCAGCTCAGGAAGGACGGCTCCAGAGCAAACTAATTTATGCAGCAGCCAAATCGCTCGCTCACAACTTTAATGCCAGTAGCTCACAAAGTAGAATTCTTGCTCACAGGACTCCTCAGCTTAGAGGGAGCATTGCCTGGCACACTTTAATGCTCTAGCTTCAGCCCTTCTGGAAGGCAGATACCATCGTGTCCTGCTCCCTCAACAGCTTTGTTCATGTCATACCGGAAAAGTAGAGTCTATTGAACATGTTCTGCTGCACGGCCCATTCTATAATGGCATATGAGATCAGTATATTGCTCCAGTTCTGTCAACTATACTGGGAAGATCTGAACAACTTTCTCTCTCTCTCTCCTCTTTGCAGACTCCTCTCAGGAGATAACTCACAAAGTTGCCAAATTTTGCCTAAGGGCATGTGGGATATGCAAGCAGCTGACTGCCTCCTAGTAACTTGCCATTCTGTTGGGAGGAGGGTTTTACTTTTCTCGTCCCCTTTCTTAATCAGTGTTCCTTGTTTTATGTTTGCTGCACGCCATGTGTTTTATTATTTGCTGATTCTTCGGAGCTGATCTTGTATCGAAATAAAGTTTCAAATCAATCACAAGAGTTGCTAGAAAGATATAATTATATAACAATTTATTAGAGCGGTCTTTGTGACATTGTTTTACAAAGCATCTTTCTTGGTCCCTTATTTCCTGTTAAAAACAGCATGTAAAAGAAAGCTTCCATGCAGATCAGTAGTGAGTGAGTGAACATAATCTTCAGTGTGACTGTAAACTTTCCAGATTTCAAGTATTACAGCAGTCGTATTATTTTTCACTGAAACACATTTAAAGAAAAACAAAGCTAAGGCAACCTGAAAATGTCAGATGTGCCTAAACAAAATTACGGCTCACCATGTTCTTCATTAAAGGGCGTTAAGTACTTTAGAACTCTTGTGTCTTTCAGTCCCACTCGGTGTTCCCTCTAAGCTAGCTCACAGTTTTTTAGCCTCCAGCTCACACATTTTTGTCTTAGCTCAGGAAGGCTGGCTCCAGAGCAAACTAATTTATGCAGCAGCCAAATCGCTCGCTCACAACTTTAATGCCAGTAGCTCACAAAGTAGAATTTTTGCTCACAAGACTCCACAGTTTAGAGGGAGCATTGGTCCCACTAATAGCCTTTTGTGTAGGTGAGACCATGGTTAAATAATTATTTTCTTCAGGTGGTCCCATGATTAAGTGGCTAAACATCTACTTTTCTTGTTGGACGTTCCAGATGCAATGTCCCGTCTCAGGCCCTCAGACTGTGCCTTGATCACTGGACTTTTTTCCTGTCTGATCCCTCATGATGCATCGTCTTCAACTCTACCCAAGATTGCACCAGCAGAAGTCCAGGAATAACTACCCACACACCATTGAAAAATACCAGATACACCCAAAGATAAAGCCAGTTACTAGTGTTGAGACTGGGGCTTCCAGTGAGCCACTCCGGACAAAAAGTCATCCATCCACCATACAGTTCACAAACACACAACGTTATCTGAATGAAGTGCCTGGAATGGGGAAAAAGAGGAAATTAGAAACGGAAATACAATGTACATTTCATACACTGAAAGCACTACTGCTTACTTCAGATATATCTTCTAATATCCAAAACATTTTTTAAAGGTAAAAACTGGAGGAGAGTGAGGGTACCTGAAGGCTAAGATATCAGCAACCACAATATGTGAGATAAAACATGTTTACTCTTCCATATGGTGCAGAAATCAAAAGGGCCTGGATCTTTCTGTTTTTCTTTTCGGGAGTTTTTTTTTTGGGGGGGAGCACAAGACAATTTGTAGGAGCCTTCATCTTTTTCTTAAAATAAGGACTTTTTAAAAGCCTAGAATGTCCTTTTTTTAAATAAAGGAATTCAGTAAATTTCATCAGTGCTCCAAACACAGCTTCCATATATTAGCAACCTTTATACAAACCTTGTAAAATTGCATTCTTTTCCTTGTATCACCCCTGCCTTCCTATTATTTTGTCCAATTGTTCAAGAAATGTATTAGAGGGACAATGCCAATGCACTGTTGCTATCCCTGGATGGGGTACACTGAAGACAATGGTTAAAGACATCCCTGGAATGTAGCCTGATGATATTATCACAGGCTGAAAATAAAGGTAATCCACGGCAAAGATCTCAGACTAAATGCAGCAATCAAACTTGTCCTTCTCTCCCTTTCTCTGCCTTCAGGAAACATAATGCTGATTTGCGACTTCTGGAAAATTGCTCAGTCTAACAGTGGCCATTTTCCTTTTAAGTCAAAGCTCTGCATCAAAAGATCCAATGAGTCAGATCAGTCTTCTGCTGGATTTGCCATAACTTTCCTGCCTTTTTCCTTCCTGAGAATTCCCATCCCATTGCTTCCCATTTGCAATGAGTACTTTGAAACCTCCATCTGTTGGAGGAAGTGGCCAGAAGAGAGGCTGCAGTGGCCGTTTCTCAGAGTCCCCATTATTGGGAAGTGCTGGTGCTGAGCTCATGATCAAAGGCATGGATGCTGGGATGACCACTACTTCAAAGGAACAGTCAGAATCAGAACGCCAACGCATCTTCTTCCTTTTCTATTTTAAACTTTAAAATAGAAAAGGAGCAGAAGCATACAGAACCCGAATTGGGTTCATTGTTTCCCGTCTTGGGTGATTTACATAGAAAGACCAGAGCACCTTGATTATTGTATGGGTTTTATTGTGGTTTTAATGTTGTTTATTCTATTGTATTTTATCTATTCAATCCGGCTTCGCCGCATGTTAGCCGCCCTGAGCCGTTGGGAGGGCGGGATGCAAATCTAAAAACAAATAAATAAAAAAATAAAATCTCTGTTTCTCATTCTGCACTACTGGGCCAACTTTGGAGGGTCTTCGGCCATGGAAACGTTTTATGTCAAAACTGATGCACTGAAAAGAGACACTCACCTGTAATGCTTCTCTCTGAGAATAGCGTAAATGAGGATCAATGCCAAAAGGCTATCCAGAACAACAGTCAGTATCTCCAGTGAGACGACAGTGGGATCGGAGTGGAGCCACCTCGCATCTGCTATGCCGTATTCCTTCCCTACAGAAGATTACAGACATCTTGTCATGAATGAAACAGTATAAACTTACAACTTGGCCCTGGGAGGAACAGAAGAGAGCAGAGATCTGACATGCGATGCCTCCAAATGGCCTTCCTCACAGTGTGGGAGACCAAGGAGGAAGGGCGGTTGTCAGTATGCCAGTGTACCTTTATAGGGACCCAGGCTGTTAGGATTATTAGATTCCTAAAAAGAAAATCTATAAGGGGGGGACAAAGGGACCTGGCCCTTTTATTGAATTGTACATTGTGAGGTTTACAATTGCCCTCTCTGGTGAGGTTGTTTTTATGTATTGGGATTGAATCATCCCGGATTGAATCACCCCAGAGACTGGCTGAGTTTGGAGCACAAGAACAATAGCCGACCAGGACTCTGGAATAAACCAATCAAGTAGTAAGGTAAAGGTAAAGGTTCCCTTGCTCGAAAGCCAGTCGAGTCCGACTCTAGGGTTGCGACGCTCATCTCCGTTTCAGAGCCGAAGAGCCAGCGCTGTCCGAAGATGTTTCCGTGGTCATGTGGCCGGCATGACTAAACACCAAGACACACGGAACGCTGTTACATTCCCACTGAAGTGGTCCCTTTTTATCTACTTGCGATTTCTTGCTTTCGAACTGCTAGGTTGGCAGGAGCTGGAACTAGAGATGGGAGCTCACTCCCGTCTTGCGGCACCCGGGTCTTGAACTGCTGAACTACTGACCTTCCACAGCCTACAGTTCAGCGTCTTAACCACTTGAGCCACCGCAGCTCCGATCAAGTAGTAATGTTATGTAAATAGCCTATCACTGGGAGTGGGGTGTGTTTGGGTTTGGCAATTGCATGCTATTTAACAGAGCAGAGGCTCAGGAGTCTGGTCTGGTAGTTTTGCTGAAATCACTGAATAAGCCTGAGCTGATCACTGCCATGCATCTAGAACCCAGTATTTAACAGTTCTATGAACTCTCCAAGAATGTTTTATTTCAGCAAGTTTTCTCTGACTGTTTTATCTGCTTTGATCTAGGGTTCGAATATTGGGGGATGTCGGCCTAATTGGCTGTGGAACGTTACGAACTGCAACTATCTCTAAAGTATACTTGCAGACCATGATCAAATACTTGCTGAAAGCCAATTCTTCTTACAGTAAAGAAGAGTTCCAGAGCATGGCAGTAACAAAGAGCATTAGGTCTATTCTGATCTCTAATTGCCTTTAAAATGATGAGATAAGAACATAATAAATGGGAGTTCTCATGTGGTTAATTAGGTTTCCCCCCATTTTCTATTATCATATAGAACATTAATACAAATGCAGAGCATAAAAGATGAATCATTTGAGGTCAACGAGTCCATCTGTGCTCTCCTATAAATGCATCTTCATAATAATAAAATCCTACATTTATTATGACTGGAGAAATTTATAAAGCTTAGTCTCTAACCCAGCATACAAAAGGATACCACAATAAACCCATCGTTTTTACATCTTCATTTTTCTGCTGGATTGTTAAATCTAATTTAAAAAATACATCTCCCTAATTTTCCCAAGCCATTGTTAAATCATTGGGCAGCTGTCTGACTTCCAAACTCCAGCAAAAAAAAATTCAATGTATTGCTTCATTCATTAAGTTCAGAATAATAACTGTAATTTTTTTTTTGCAATCATTGCAGCATGATTTAGTAGTGATATCTCAGGCCTAAAGGCCTCAATTCCACCTTTGATATGTCGAACAATATTTTTTCAAAATTGATATGCTCTAGCCCTGATCTAGATAGCCCAGGCAAGCTCGATCTCGTCAGATCTCAGAAGCTAAGCAGGGTCAACTCTGCCAAGTCCTTGGATGGGAGACCTCCTTGGAATACCAGAGGTGGGAGGCGGGGGCAGGCCTTATTCAGCCACCTCTCTGAATATCCTCCAGGCCCCCAGTAGGGGTCAGTCATCAGAGGTCACCATGACTTCCAGGTGCACACACGCACGCACATACACAACAAATACAAAAAAAAAAATTACAAAAATTGTTAAGGTCTCTTACGGTACTGCCACATATGGATGAAATCTGATTTCGTTGACTTACAGAACCAACACTTATAATAAACGGCCACTATGGATATTTATGGGATGTACAATAGTATAGCTTGATTTCCACAGAACTTGAAAAATGAGCAGGGTCAGGACTTAGACGGAAGACCAGCAAGGAAGACTCTGAAGGGGAAGGCAATGTAATAATAAAATCCTACATTTATTATGACTAGAGAAGTTTGTAAAGCTTAGTCTCTAACCCAAGATACAAAAGGATACCGCAATAAACCCATCGTTTTTACATCTTAATTTTTCCGCTGGATTGTTAAATCTAATTTAAAAAATACATCTCCCTAATTTTCCCAAGCCGTTGTTAAATCACTGGGCAGCTGTCTGACTTCCAAACTCCAGCAAAAAAAAATAAATGTATTGCTTCATTCATTAAGTTCAGGATAATAACTGTAATTTTTTTTTTGCAATCATTGCAGCATGATTTAGTAGTGATATCTCAGGCCTACAGTGATATCTCCACCTTTGATATGTTGAACAATATTTTTTCAAAATTGATATGCTCTAGCCCTGATCTAGATAGCCCAGGCAAGCTCGATCTCGTCAGATCTCAGAAGCTAAGCAGGGTCAACTCTGCCAAGTCCTTGGATGGGAGACCTCCTTGGAATACCAGAGGTGGGAGGCGGGGGCAGGCCTTATTCAGCCACCTCTCTGAATATCCTCCAGGCCCCCACTAGGGATCAGTCATCAGAGGTCACCATGACTTCCAGGTGCACACACACACACACGCACGCACGCACATACACAACAAATAAAAAAAAATAATTACAAAAATTGATAAGGTCTCTTACAGTACTTTCACATATGGATGAAATCTGATTTAGTTGACTTACAGAACCAGCACTTATAATAAACGGCCACTATGGATATTTATGGGATGTACAATAGTACAGCTTGATTTCCACAGAACTTGAAAAATTAGCAGGGTCAGGACTTAGACGGGAGACCAGCAAGGAAGACTCTGCAGAGGAAGGCAATGGCAAACCACCTCTGCTTCTCACTTCCTATGCTGGAGTTGCTATCAGTCACTTGTGATTAGTTGCTGTAGATTTTCCGGGTCTTGGCATTGTAGAACCTGACATTTCGCCAATAGCTGTGACTGGCATCCTCAGAGGTATAACACAGAAAGATGGAGTACTCTCTGTGTCAAGGTGAGAAGAAAATGGTAGGCAGGTAATTTATATCTACTCCAGAAGGTGGGGTAGGGCTGAGTCATTATCTTGCAGGAGTTCCCCAGGCTATGAACATGCTAATGGAGGAGCTTTCCTGAGGAGGTTCTTTTGTATATGGATTGTTTCCTGAGGAGGTTTCCTGTTCCCTGAGGAGGTTCTTTTGTACGTGGATTGGCTGTGACTTCATGGCACATGCATACATTACTAAGCTTACAGCTTTTGAGGAATTAATGATACAAGGTGAAAAACATTTGGTCTCTTTATTGTTGTTATTCTTTGTTGACTGTTACAGAATGTCATGTAAGGGGAAAGTTCCAGATCAAATGGAGTAATGATCTTGGCACTGAAATACCAAGATTTAGCCAAAGTTCTTCTTTTTCTGTCTTTTATATATAAGAAAATATTATGAAAATGATTTACCACTAGCACCTTTTTGCCATACAAGCTAGTTAAAATTTACCTTACCTGCTCAATTTGCATTAATTTTTTGAAAATATTGCTCCATGTTTTCAGTCCCCAACATTAAAGAGAGAAATTACTTAAAATGACGTTTGAATTTCACAGAAACCTTAAACGAGTCCGTAGATTTTGCAAAAGTGTTTCAAACTCATATGGAACCATAGTTTATATCAACGTTGCCTCACACTCCTGCTGTTTGAAGCAAGAGTTCAATATAGGCAGGCAGCAATGTTCAATCCCAACTACAACCACCAGTCTGGTGTAGTGGTCTAATCAGGGAGAACCGGGTTTGATTCCCCACTCCTCCACATGCAGCTGCTGGTGTGACCTTGGGTCGGTCACAAGAGCTCTCACCTGGCTGGATAACCTTGGGCAAGCCATAGTTCTGATAAGAGCTATTCTTGAAAAAGAGCAGTTTCTGTCAAGAGCTCTCTCAGCCCCACCTACCTCACAGGGTGTCTGTTGTGGGGAGGGGAAGGGAAAGGAGTTTGTAAGCCGCTCTGAGACACCTTTCCGTAGTGAAGGGCGGGGTATAAATCCAATCTCTTCTCTTCTCTTCTTCTTCTCTAACTAAAGGAATTCTATGGCACCTGAGATGCACTAGCATTTATCTTTCGCCTCAGTTTCAGTTTAATAGAATACTTACACAGAGATGCAATTATGCTGTCTGATTCTGCAACACTTCCCACCAGAGACAGGTAAACAAAGGGGCCTTCCTGTGGGCGAAGAGCAAACAGCCAGCAATGTATGACTTACCAACAAAGGGGGCGGGGCAGGTTCCAGATTATTTCAGGACCCCTCAGGGAGTCCGTCTAGTTGTATGGAAAAGCACCACAGCCCTGAGATGTCCCTGTAGATGGCGCTGTACCACCCAGTACCAGGAGCAGCGTACCTATTTTAATCCCCCAAATGACTGCCCTGCTGCTGCCCAAGTGCAATAATTTGGCTTTCCTCATATGAATGACTGGAAGCTTTACCTACACTGCCTCAAATAAAGGGGTCACTCAAGGACAGCCTAAATTGCCTCTGCTGATCCCCAAGGGAGTCTCTGCTAGACAAGCCTAACACAAGGGAAGGAAGTATCTTGCTTTCTGGACTTCATCTCTCACTAACATATGAAAAAAGAGAGGAAGCTATTGATTGTCACATCTTACAGGTTTTGGCTGAGTGGAGGATGGCAACTAAAGTAAAGAAATAAAGTTCAAGTCCAGCGGCACCCTAAAGTCCAACAAAATCTTCCAGGGTTATGAGCGTTTGTGAATCAAAGCTCACTTCGTCAGATAC